GGGTTCTCTCTTTTTACTATGTGGGTTCCCAGGGATTGAACTCAGGTTGTCAGGTTTAACAACAGTCACCTTTATCTGCTGAGTCAGCTCCCTGCCCCTTTCTTGTTTTTGTTTTAGAAGTACAAATGGCTTCTTTAAATTTTCTGAAGGAAATTAGAATTGTTTTAATGTTGAATGACGTTTCCTCAAGAATGTGATAATTTTAGTCCACTGTTTTTTATATTTTTAACTGAATTTTTATGAGTTTCATAATTTTGATCACATTTAGACCCCCTCCTCCATATGTACCCCTTTTATAGTCCCCCATCTCACTATTCTTTTTTTTATATGAAGGAAGGCTAAATTGCTCCCAATGTGAGCAAGTACTGCTGTATCACACTTGAATTTAAGATGTGAAGATGAGAAGAGGGAAGTCTGGGCCTTGCCCCAAGTGATGGAAGGCATCCATCAACATTCCGGGTACCTAACATCTTCTAGTCAGTTTGTTTAATTTCTTTAGAAATTATTTACATTTTTTTCTTTGGAAGGGAGTAACTGTCACTGATATATCAGGGGCTGGCAGGAGCTGACAGTAGCCAAGACTGACTTTAAACAGCTTTTTTGTAATCTACCCTCTGAGACTTTCTAGATAATCAAATGATACGTAAGTCATGAGTTTTGTTTTCACACACACACACACACACACACACACACACGGGATTAAACTCAGAGCCCTCACATACTAGACACACTAACAAAGGCTCTGCCACTAGTCTACAGCCCCACCTCTATACACTGTTTTTTTTCTTTTTTAAAATTTTTTAAATTAAAAAAACTTGTGGAAAAACCACATAGGAACCTGGAATAACTGGTTTTTCTAGAATGTTTTATTTTAAATGTGGTATTGAGATTTTTTTAGAACAAATATTTTTTAAATATTTTATTTTATTATTTTTTATTTGTTTTATGTGTATGAGTGTATTGTCTTCATGTATGTAAATGCACTCGTGTCGTGCAATGCCCACAGAGGTCAGAAGAGGCATCGGATCCTCTGGAACTGGAGTTACAGACTGTTGTTAGCTGCCATGTGGGTTCAGGGAATCAAACCTGGGTCCTCTGAAAGAGCAGTCAGTGCTCTTAACCGCTGAGCCATCTCTCCAGCCCCTGTCTCTTTTTCTTAACATGTGGATTTGGCAATATCTGTAGTACAACATTGATTTTGTTTTAAAAGGCCCGCAGGTTAATTCTTCTTTGGAAAAAAATAGAGTTTCTTCTTTTTCCCCCTTCCTCCTCTGTCTCCCCCGTTACCCCTGCTCCCCAATCTTCATCTTCTTCTTGCTGTAAATGGCAGTTTGCTCTTCTGTAATAGTACTATTTTCTTTCTGACATCTTGCACCTCAGTCTTTATGTTAGGAGATACATATTCTAAATGTCATAACCTCAGAGATTTGTCTCTATCACAAAGAAATAAGTTCACTTAACCTGCAGCAGATAACCATAAACTGTGGACAAAACTTCCTTCCTTTCTTTCCTTCTTTACTCTCTAATTCATCAAGTGGTCAGGGGTGTGATGAAAAGCAGAGACTTTGGAGGGCAGTCAGAATATGAAGGGAGCAATTGGCCAAGGGTGAGTTTTCTGATTTTGTGCATTTGCCCTGAATGTAGCCACTTACAACAGGAGTGGTTCAGATCACTGAAATTTTGGCAGAAAGTACACTCTTTTTCTGACTAGGGAAATCAGGGATAAGACACCATAATCACAGCCACTAGACAGTAAAGATAAACTTCAGAGATGAGAAAGCCAAGGAAAGCCATGTCAAATTCAACAAGGAAACGCTCCAAGTCTCTGGCTGACCAGTCAACCACACACATGGGGTAGTTCAATAACAATATACACTGATTTGCTGCTCAAGTGCCCATTCCAGGTGTAGAATTACCAAACAAAAATCTGAAAGCATTTATTATGTCTTTATAATAAATGAAAAGGGAGGAGATCTTGGGGAAATGGAAAAATGTACAAATATACCAACTGGAAATTTTAACATTAAAAATTACAATGTTTGAAATTAAAAGAATTATTGGGTCAACTTAATAGTGAAATGGAGACAACACGAACACTTGGTGGGTGAAGATAAATTAACAGAATTATTCATTTTAAAGAAGGGAAATGATTTAAAAATTAAAGGCGCTCAAGAAAATGTCCGTCTAACCAATTCTACAATGAAGTTTCAGAAGAAGACAGAGAATAACTGAGACTGAAAAATGCATGATAAGATAATGTTCAGGGTTTCTCTAAATTTAGTGGAGCACATAAAGTTACAGATTTAAAAATCACGAAAGCAACCCCCCCCAAAAAAACCAAACCAAAACAAAACAAAACAAAACAAATCCCAAAAGCAAAACTAACAAACAAACAAAACAAAGATGGAGAGATTTTGAAAGCATCCAAAGAAAAACAATACTGGGGAACAAGAATTCAGACAGTGCCATTCTTATCTCTGGTTTCCATCACCTCAGAGTAACTAGCAAAAACAACAGAAATGGAAAAATACCTGGATATATGTAAAAGTACAGTTATTTTCCTCTTAATTAAAAATATGATTATTAAAAACAGAAAAGGCAACCTTTCTTATGTGGTTTATACGTAAGGCACCTAGTAACTGGAGCAAAACGGATATTGACGGGTTAGGGCAGAAGAAAACAGACCTATGTGGTTACAAAGAATAATAGTAACGCTAAGAAGAATGTATACACAACACTAGAGCAACCATTAAAATAAGGCATAGAGGTACAACTAAAAAGCTAATGGGCAATTAAAATAGATACTAAATATACTCAAATAATCCAAAGACGGCCTCCAAGGGGCAAATGGGAAACCCAAACCCAGGAATAAACAAAAACCAAATAAAATCCATGACTTCAGAAAACAGGACTAGATTTGGGGTATGCTCTGTCACAACTTCCTATCAGCACAGGAAGCTGGGGGAAAGGTGGTACCTAGGTAGATGATTATGCAGGATGGTGATGGAGATTGTGCTCCAAATGCTTGTGGAGTAGAAAGGAGTACTTAGTACTTAGGTTATGTACCTCTGATAACTATTCACACATATACATGGCCTAGCCATTCTGCTGACTTGCTCCTCCAGGATTTCTCCTTCCTGCAGCTACTGTTAATAAAAGAGTCCCACATGTCAGAGGAGGCAGTGAACAGGAGAGCAGAGATTCTAGAGAGTGCTTATAGAACACTCATTAATTTTTAAAAATTTTATGTATACGAGTGTTTTGTCTGTGTGTATGTAAGTGTACTATGGGCATGACAACCTGTGGAGGCCAGAAGAGGGTATGGGGTTGGAGGGTTGTTAGCCACTGTGTGGGTGCTGAGAAGCAAACCCTGGTCCTCTACAAGAACAGGTAGTGTTCTTAAGTGCGGAGTCATGTCTCCAGTGCCCAGAGCACTTTCTAATCATATTCTGAGGCAGAAATTCCACAAGATGGCAACGTTCTCTTACAGAATTGAAACAGTCACTTTGGGATGTTGAAATAGACTCTCATATTAAAAATGTTTTCTTTGTTGTTAAAAAGCTACCAGGAAAGGCAATGAATTTTTTCTTAGGGCAAGATAACAACCCCTGGAAAGGCTTGGTCTGCATGTGGTCCTCTGTTGGTTTTAAGATGGTGCATCACAGAGCTGCATACTCTGTATACAGGATGAGGAATCCCCTGCCTCTGCTCACAGCCACAAGCTGTATAGGGTCAGGGAGGTCTCAACTTAGGATGCCACATTGACCAATTATGGCAGTCACACAAAGTGACCCCTTAGACACTGCATTTTGTTCAGTGCTTTATTGTCTGTATTAGGATGTAGTTTGCAAAATTTCCATAGACGGTCCTGGGAAAAGGAGTCAATACACAGAATTAACTTTGAATCCATCATATATTTCAGAGGCTTTCTGGGCTATCTCTTCTGCAGAGCTTTGTGCCCACAATCACAAGTACATTTTGCCATCGGTCCTCTGACAAACAAAACAGGAAGGAAGTGTGGCTGCATGTGTACTGGTTGTGCTTCCTGTTACTCCTCCTTCCTCCTTCCCCCTTTGGTGGAACATTTTCATGTAAATAGAGAGCAGGTGGAAGAGAGTCAGATTGAGAAAATGTTATCAAGGTGTCTTCACTAGAAGGAAAAGGAAGAAAGCAGAGGCAGTCATTCTTTTACTTTGGCTACCAGGTTGCTTTGTAAATATGAGCCTCAGTTCTCTCACTGAGTGGCTTGTGCATTAGTTACTTTTCTTGCTGCTGTGCTCAAATACCTGACAAGAAGCAATGTAAAGGAGAAGGCTTCATTCTGGCTCACAGTTTGAGGTTACAGTCCATAATGGAGGGGAGGGCATGGCAGCAGGAGGGTGCAGCTGGGACTCACCACCTCACATCTTCATGGGAACAGGAAGCAGAGCATGCACAGGAAGTGGGACTGGACTCCAAGTTCTCAAGGCCTGCCCACCAGTGATCCACTTCATACAGCAAGACTCTACTTCCTAAAAGTTCCACAACTTTCCAAAACAGTGACACCATTTGGGGCCCATGTGCTCAAACACATGAGCCTCGGGGGCGGGTGATGGGGGCTTCCACATTCAAGCCATAGCACCTTGTCCAGTTTTACCTCCTCTGACTTCTTAACTGTGAATCAAGCAGGTTGATGTGGGAACAACCGTTCCCCAACAAAATCCCATATCTTCAAGGATGAATAGGAGCTATATTGAACATCCTGCATGGGTGTTTGTGAGGGTTCCCAGGCTCTTGCCCATAAAATTCAAAGGCAGTTCAATGCATTCTGCATTTTCTATGAGATTATTTCTATATGTCTACTGTTTTTTTTTTAAAGAAGCACTCATTCTTTTCTCATTATAAATAGAATAAAAGGTCATTTAAAATAGTTGCAAATACCATACCAAAACTAAAGAAAACAAAAATTATGTGCAATTTCATTAATCCTATGTAAATTTAAACCAATATTATTTACGTACTTTCTTTTTTTTCTCCCTCTCTGCAATGAGTTCAGCTTTTCTTTTGGCAATCAAATCATCCTGTTAAAGAAACATTAAAAGTTTTAGACAGAAAACAATCAGAATTACTTGCTGTGTATTAATGTATTTTTCTAAGTTGAGGCTAATACTTGGGTGGAAGGATTGGGAACTCTCCAGAGAAGCATGTGAAGATGGTGCTGGCCTCTGTGCACCCCTGTTGTTCGGGGCTGCTTTGCTCCAGGGGAGAAAAGGCATTTCGGGGAGGTGGGGTCCGTCACTCTTACCACAAATTTTAGAACTCCTTTTTGAAATGTTTGCTTGTTTTGTATGACACTGGATTTCACACACAGGGATATTCTGGGTGGCAATTTGTTGAAAAATGTTTGGTCCTCCTCCCCCACACCCCCTCTTCTCCTTTTTTTTTTTGGTCTTTTTGAGACAGGGCTTCCCTGTAGCCCCAGATGGCCTGGAACTGGCTATGCAGACCAGGATGGCCTCGACCTCACAGAGATCCACTTACCTCTGCCTACCTAGTGCTGGGATTAAAGGCGTGTGCCACTGTGCCCACTAATCAGTACCACTCAGGTTAGGGGCTACTTGACTCAGAATTTCCAAGCTAGGCTACTTAACTCACTGTTTAGCTTAATACTCGAGTCACTTTTCTTCTGCTTCTTTCACTTAAGTAAGTAGCAGTAAAGATTAACTCACAACTGTGTGCCTGCCAGAGGCTGCCACTGTCGGGCATTATCATATATATTTTTTCACGTTTTTTTCCCCCTTTGGTCTTTTTGAGACAGTGTCTTCCCGTAGCCCCAGCTGACATGGAACTCCACCTGCTTCTGGGATTAAAGACTACGCCACCACACCCAGCTTCTTTCCTTTTCTTTTAAAATACATCAGCAAGTTAGGCAGTATCCCCTTCCCTAAGACTGAGTTACTAGAAATTCAGAGGGGTTAACCTGTGTAGTGCCCCATAAGAAATTGCGAAAGGATCCCACGTGGCTGCTTGCGTTTGCTCCAGCTGAAAAACATAGGAAGTGGGTTTGGAACAAGACTGGAGTTCAGACCCATATGGAGCAACTTGATTAAAATAGAGTTTTAGAAGATTGGTCTGGAAATAGCTGGAAGGATGGACTGGAAAGGTGAAGCCAGCAAGAATGATTGGGTGGTCACTGAGTGTTGATGTTACCGGAAAAACTCTGGACCAGGGTAGAGTTAGTGGGTGTGATGGGGAGGATATGGAGGCTGCTCAGTTCTCTGCTGTCTGGCTCTGGGTCTCACAGCACCCGCTGTGTCTGCTGTCCATCCACCCCACATCTGTGTCTGATAGAGGGAAGCCTTGGTGCCACTATCTTGGAAAGAAAAGCATTAACATGTTTGGTGATCAAAACGTCTTCACATAATTATTAATTCTTATTAAAGGGTCAACGTTAGATGAAAAATCTTTTCTTGCTTACTGTAGTATTAAAATTACAAAATTACATTCTTGTGAAGACTACTTTATAACCAAAACAGTATAAACAGCCTATTCCTATGCACCATTATTGAATACATACCCTGATTTTTGTCTTCATATCTTTGATGAGCTTTTTCCTTTCTAATTTCTTGTTCTGTTTCATTTTCCACTTTTCAACTTGTGCAGGAAGAAGCCGATCAAAAATATCTTGATCATCAACTTGTATTACAATGGCAGCATCTGGGAAAAATCCACGCTCCCCCAGACACAGGGCCTCCTCAGGGTACCGTGGGAAGCCATCTAGTACAAAGCCTGTGGAACTAGGTGGAAAATTTCATAATTTGCATAAAATGTTACAGATATTCCAAATAAGCCTGACTCAAAATACAAATAAAACATTTCTTTCATATGTGGAATGACTCTATCCACCCATTCATCATCTATCATCTATCTATCTATCATCTATCTATCATCTATCTATCATCTATCTATCTATTTATCTACCTACCTATCTTCTATCTTCTATCACCTACCATTTATCTATCTACCTATCTATGGCATGATCACAGAAGGGGAACCATTTGGGAGGAGGAAAGGAACCAGTGTGAGTGGGGAGGGGTGACAATGGAAAGAAATGAGGTGGTGAGTATGAGGCAAAGCACAGTCATATACATATATATATGTCATAGTAAAACCCTTTCTTTTATATATTAACTTAAAAAGAATGAAAAACAGAAAACTATGCTATAGGTCTATTTAGGCTATATATTATTTCTGAATATTATAAATTCTAAAACAGGTTGATATCTTGACTTTATCAGATGTATAGTAAGTAGTTTAGTGTCTTTTATTTCTTTAGTATTTAGTTGTATATATCAGGGCTTCTTAAGTTTTTTCCACTTACTAACCCCTTTTTGCCTGAGAAAAAAATTTATTTTGAGACATGGTCTTACTATTTAGCCATGGCTGACCTGAAGCTCACTATGTAGACCAGGCTGGCTTCAATCACAGTAATCCACCTGCCTCTGCTTCCCAAGTGTTGGGATTAAAGTCATGTACCACAATGCCTGGCTCTTCAAGAAATTTCTATGTGACCTGGGTATGCAGGCATATATATATATAAACCTGCTTTAGAGCAATTATTTGGTATAGATGTAATTTTACCATTTTCTAAAGACAAAGATGAGATCTATGTACTTGCTTTATTTTTCTTAGAGAATTAATTAAAGAATTTGATACTACAGGATGAAGAGCATCTTCAGTGCTTTTCAGAAATACCATAATTGTCAATGCTGAGAACAGAATTTTGCATAAGTACATAGTGCACAATGGCAGAAGTATGCTCAGGACCATTTCAGAAACTAGAGGAAATTCTGTCCCAATCCCAAATCAAAATTCACCTAGTGATTTTTAAAAATAAAATTCAACCTAGCAACTCAAGAGTTTGAAAAAAATCAGGCATTCTAATGAGATCCAGTCCAAAGGCATACTAATTTGATGCTTACATGCCGAAGAATGGCAGTAGGAAAATAATTAAACCATCCCATTTCTATAAGATCAGAAAACTTTTACATAAGTAAAAACACTGCAGTTCATAGCATGCAATAGTTTGAATCTGAGCCAAGGTGCTACAGGCATGTCACTGATGTTGTATGACGTGACGGCATGCACAGTGCAAAGTGTGAATGCTGTGTGTTCAGAACCAAGGCCACAGGGAGCCTGTTAGATGCAACATTGTACAACATTGGTGAACATTGCCAGAATCACTGCACATTCGTTACATTTGATTTATGAACTAAATTTTGTTTGCTGTGCATTCAAAAATCTCTTGCTATTGCCAACTTTTCATGACTCCTATATTCAGTTGGACAGTCTCATATGGGTCAAAACTAATCTTCGAGTGAAAGTTTGCTTATCTTGCTTATCTAAAAAAATGTTCAGTATGTTTGCATTCACCAGTAGGTTTTCTTACTATAACAAGACTATTATGAACATTTGACAGTTTCAGGCTTCAAAGGTGTTAATTGTAAAATGTTAAGTTTCCTAAGCAGGCAAATTTTCATAAATTGGTCATAATATGTGTTTTTTTGTTCAGTGATGCCTTTGGTCCATCTAGTCTTCTTTGGGAGGAACAAATTTTATTCTTAATGGTCCAGCTGCCTTTTCTTTTGTTAAGGACTTCCAAGTCTTTACCTCTACCCTTTTCTGAGTTTTAATTCAGAATTTTCAAATCACTTCTTAGTTTTTCTATTTGAAGCCCTTTGGGAATGATCTATGCATTATTCTGGCAACATTCACACTCACTGTTACCTTTTCAACTTGCTCTTCATTGGATTTATCAGTCCACTGGTGCTAAAGAGAAACATCTGAGCCTTTTCTCCACCTCCCTCCTGCTCTCATGGCCTATTAGCTAAGGCTTGGCAGCCTCCATACTTCATTTCTGCCATTATCCCCATTATTAAAGGAATAGACTTGAAAAAAATGTGCTAAAGTTTCCCTCCAGTTATAAGAGCACCGAATCTCATTGCTGGAAAGTTGTAAAGTAGAAGAAAAAAACCATAAAAACAGACACATCATTTATAATTCCGTGTCTTGATATTACTATCTTTTGTATTTCTTTCCAATCACTTCTTCACGTGTCCATCTCTCTACTGTATCTTAACTAGTTCTGCATCTTCCTTTTTAGCTTAGTATCATATAATAACATTTCACAAACCACGGTAAATATAATAAAATATGATGGTTGCATAATATGCAATATTTTATTTAGGCCTTTATAATTTAACTTTTTGCATTAAGTTTAATTCATATCTATATATCTATATGTATACCTATATATTTAGATATACTTTGGTTTTGATACTTAATTTAAACCTTTTTTGTTGTTTTTCATTTTTTAGTTTGTCTCTTCATTTTTCTTCAGACCCACATTTTAACACATAGTGTGAAGTAAGAAGTTAAATCAATGAAGAACAACTCATGATTATAAAGCTTTAGGTCACTTCCTAAGTTTCCCACAGCTATCAAACAAGAACATTATTAAAGACTTGATGGCTAACAATCCCACTCCCTGATTTCAGGGTAGGCATAAGTGCCCAGAACCAGAAGGAACATGGAACTGATTAGTTATAAAAATTCTCTGTAATTCAGTTTCTTTATTTCTAAAGTGAGGTAATGAAAATTTCCATGCCATTGGATCATTGTAAGGATTAAGTAAGTTGATCTGAATAGAATACAGTTGTTCAGTACCTGGTACCTGGTAAGTTGCAAAGATGTTTGTGTTATCATCAGTATTGTAAATATTATTTCACTCTCTCCTGGTGAATCCCAAGGCAGAAGATTCTGGTTAGGGCATTGAAGGAAATTTTAAACTCCAGTGACCTGGAGATTTGTCCTGCGTGTGTCAGCACTGAGCATTTGGTAATGTGGTAATACTGGACAGCTGTTAAGTGGTCTTAATAGTAATTAGTTACAAGGTTATAGGTGAAAACAGTCCAGCACAGCATGAGGCTATGCGGGCTTAGAAGATAGTTTGCACCTACAGCTGTGTACTAGAATCACCTGTGCCTGGGTTCTAGCCTCCAACTTCAACAGATTCTCATGTATTAGTTTTGGGGTTGAACCCTGACATCAGTATTTTTCAAAAGGTCCACAGATATTTTAATGTGTAGTTCAAATAAGAATCATTAGTTTACATGAATGAGTAATAGCAAATTCTTAAGTATTATTGGACTATTTTTCCCTTAATAACTAAGAAAATAGAAATCAATAAAAAAATAAAATCCTATGTAAATAAAGATACCGTATTGGTTCTTTAAGCCACCACTCAGAAAGAATTCTGCCAAGAATTTCAGAAGGCAATGGCTCATTTTCCATTAGACTCAATTTGATTGCTTCTTCTTCTTCTGTAAATTGCACATCTGGGAACTAAAGACAAAAATCAGAAAACAAAACAAGTTTAAAAACTCCATATTGATAAATAATACTGCATTACATAACTGATTAGGACGAGACTTATTTTTTTCTCTGAGGTTGCTTTTTATGCTGTTACTTGTAAACATCTTAAGATGAGTTTTATGTGCCAATATTTAGTATAACTAAAGAACAAATAGTATCTAATATAGCTAAGAGAAGTTACTATGATAACATGGCTAATTTTTATACATGACCTCAGGGTCATAATGCATCATTTTTTTTTTTACCAAAAACTTGCTTGATTTACCTTACATACCTATAAGGTTCAACTGATTTTTGCCATCTATCGTACAACTATTCAGTAATATTTCTTCAGCCTAGGTCCTGATTAAAGGATGGGTCAACCAAACAGTTATCTGAAATATAATCTATAAGTGGGTTATAATCATAATAACAAATAGTAAATACTATGATAATAAACTTAGCTCAACTTTCTCTGAAGATGACCCTCAGATAGTAAAAAAACATAACAGTTGTTTCGGGAATGGAACTATTTTTTAAGAAGATTTATGTTTTTTATTTCATGTGTATGAGTATATTGCCCTCATGTATATATGTATACCTCAGGTGGGACTGATGCCTGAGGAGGCCAGAAAAGAGCATCAGATTCCCTGGAACTGGAGGTACAGACTGTTGTGAGCCATTATGTGTGTGTTGGGAACCGAACCTGAGTCCTCCACAGGAGCAGCAAGTGCTCTTAACTGCTGAGCCATCTTTCCAGCCCCTGGAATGAGACTGTTTTTGTTAAGTACTTTGACCATCTGAAATCCTGAAAATGAATAAGGCCTGATGAGCTTCTTTTCATCAGGAAGTAGTATTTTAATTTTATTATCCAAAGTAAAACCCTTTAATGTGCTTCCTGAGAAATCAAACAATTCGAGAAACAGTGAAAGGAAACTGAACTTCTGCAGAAAGTCATGAGATATTTTGTATTCTGTTACATTAAAAAAAAAATCCAAGGGACTCTAGATAAGCTGACTAGAACTCAGTAGATGGACTTGCACTGGGGAATGTCTGGGGACACTGAGTTGACACAGTGGGTCTTAACACAGATGACAGAGTATATGGGTTCCAGTGGGAGGCTTTGGGAGGGTGCCAGTGGGGACGGGGCTGTAAAGATGATTAAGGTTGAGATGTTCTGAATGAAATACACAAAAATTCAAAAAACAAATTTAAAAAAATCTAGACTCGTATATGAGAATCTGGGTTAATGCGCAATTTGAAGTTTATAAAATATCAGTTTCTCTCTGACTACTAAATGTATGTAGAAAATATTTAAAAACAAGTTGGAGGTGTGCTACATTACCCTTTGTGATATTACACATTACTGTCCATCCCTGCTCAGTTTTTTTGTTATATATAACTGTATCTGGGGCTTATTCGAGAAGAAAATATCAGAAATGGTAGAAAAATACATTAGAATTCAGAACTTTCTTTTCACAAACTCATAAAGAAAGCATTCAAGAGACATATACAAATTTTCCATTAGACATTACCAGAGCTTAATATTTTGAAATCTCCATGGTAATAGGGCAGATTAAAAAAAAACTTGATAGAAAGCAGAGCACAAGAGTGTGAAGCCTTGTAGTGTAGTTTGGACATGTCAGACAACACAGTCCCAGATAAATGCTGCCCAACAGTTTAGTTATGAAAAGCTTTTCTGATTTCTACTGGAGTCAACATAAAACTCAATATTTCATATTCAGGATGAACACTGAAGAGGATGACTTTTATGACTAATTTTTTCCTCCTTGGGAGTTCTATAGAGTTTCACTACTTTGATTTCATAACAGGCACTTAGAAGCTGCTTTTGAACAAAAGTGTTGACTTTTCACTTGGGCCTACAAGGTTAATGAGAAAAGCAAGACAGAAGCCTGCATCTCCATCTTCTCTTTGCATCTGTCTGCCTTCCATGTGGCTACTGCTCACCTCTGCACATAGATATGTTAATTCACTCCAGGAGTGCCTACTGAGAAACTGGTGATAGATATCTAACCTATCTAATTTTCCTCCAAGTCAAAAGGCACACAGAAAAAAAGTAACAGAGGCATTTTATTTTCAGCTTTTTATCTCCAAAAGGTATTTAAAGGTCATTGTCTTGAATCTGTAGTCATCTTGGATTGCAGGAACCTTGCTTAAAGGACGACCATCAGATGAGGACAATTATTTATACTCCCAGGCCACCCCTTGACCAGACCTGCTTAATTATGCATACCGCTTGCCTTCTTCCCCCCAGTTCTTCCTCTACTTAAACCTAAAGCTCATCTCAGTACTCCAAAGGGTCACGGGACCCTTTTATCTGTGCACAGTGATTAAATCTCCTTTTCCTTTTTTCACCATGATTTGTCTCCCTAATTAGCACACTGGGACAGGTGACTGTGTTTAGCCCATTGGGGCTGCTGGACCTGGGGCTTTCCCCCTAAAACTCTGGCTCCAAACTTTTCCAGCAAATACAGCTGTCCTCAAAGAGATCAACAGGATTACCTGCTTCTTTGTACTTTCTTCTTCAATTTTAACGTTGGCCTGAACTGCAAGCTCTTCAAGTTCTCGCTTTGTTGCTTGTTCCTCCTCAGAATCTTCTTCAAATTCAGGTCCAAATTTTCTTTCAGCTTTGAGCAGTAATTTTTCTTGGAGAAATTCATCAAACTGAATGTGAAAAATGCCGAAATTTTCTGCCAACTTTCTTCCACATACAGTTTTACCAGAGCCGTGGGGACCCAGAAGACATATCCTTAGAGGAGGAGCCTGTCATGAGGGGTGGGAAAGGGAGGGGGGAACAAGGAGAAGGAGAAGAAGTTTCGGAAAAGTTTAGAAACTGTAAGGCTTATTGCCTGCTTTCCCTGAGACTGATGGGAGAATTCCCTTTAGCTTGGCCTGTGGGCTCACACTTCTATAACCCTAGCACTTGGGAGTCCCAAGTCAGCTAAAACTAGCAAGACCCTGTCTCAAAAGAAAAGAAAAAAACAAAAACAAAAACAAAACAAATCCCAAAGCAAACAAACAAACAAAAAACTAATCATTTCCCTTAAAAAAAAAAAACAAAAAAAACAGGAGGGAAAGGAATCCTCACTTTACAAACTTAATCATGTTTAGGCATCAGTATACCAATTTACACAATTCATTGCACCAAAAATGATAGCCAGGTGTGGTGGTGCATGCCTTTAGTCCCAGCACTCAGAAGGCAGAGGCAGGAGGATCACTGTGAGATGGAAGCCAGACTGGTCTACATAGGGAGTTCCAGGCCAGCTAGGGCTACTGGAAGCTTCTGCCTCAAAACAAACAAACAAACAAACAAACAACCATGGCTGTCAGGGAGTATCAGACCATCTTGATAAGTATACCAAAAGGCATTAACAAAATCTAACTTCACTTAAAAAGAACTGTTTTAATGTTAATACAGAATGAAAAGTCAATATGATTTTAAAAGATCTCTCTCTACCAAGCAGAAAGCCCGTTAATGGAACTTCAGAGACCTGGCCACGATCATCCCTTGTATGATGGAGAGGAAAGAATAATGATGAGGGATGACGCAGCAGCTAAGGATCCTGTGAGCGTGAGGAAATGACTGTGAAACCAGTAAATGAGAGCACAGGGAGAGGGAAGATGGTAGTGTATTTCAGTAGTCTGAGCCGCAAAGGAGCTGGAGGATTTTGCAAACAGAAGGGGGAACTCGTGGATTTGAGCATCAGACACAACAAGGAAAACTTCATCATCTAGTTGTGAAGGAAATATTCAGAGAAGAGTTCAGAGATGCAGGGGAGGGCTTCGATGTAACTCAGTTGGTGGATGCTTGCCTAGCCTGGACCAAACCCTGGGTTCCATCCCCAGCACAGCATAAACCAGGTGTGATGGTACATGCCGGTAATCCCAGTACTCAGAAAATGGGGGCCATTCTGGCTACATAATGAATTTGAGGCCAGCCTGTGATACAGGAGACCCTCTCTTAAATAATAGTTAACAACAAAATGAAAACATTCAGGGGGAAAGTGTATCGAAGAAATACAGAGGAAAGAAGGATCAGGTAGTACAAGAACAGTTTACAAAGAAGTTTAAGACGAGAATAAAACCCAAAAGACAACAAAGATACTTGAAAAGAATTATCAGAGGAAAGAGTGAGCTCTTAAGAGATTAATAATATGGTCCTGAAGTAAAAAAAAACAAAAATCAATACTACTGTGAAGTTCTATAATTCTAGGAAATCTCATAGCAAACATGCACTGCATTCCCAGTACAACAAATTAGCAAAGACCCTGGAGAAGTTTAAGAATACCAAGAATGAAGAGAACGCATTATGAGTTTCCAGATATTAAAAAAGAGATTATCTGTAAAGGAACGATGATCAACCTAGCAACACAGAATCGAAGCACACAAGCAAGGAATGTCTTTAATATGCAGGAGGGACAATGACTCACAGAATAGAAATCCATGCTTCTGCAAACTGCCAAGGACATAAGAGCCAAATGTCTGATATGAAGGAAGTTGGTGAAGATGTTTTCCAACAGAACAGGAAGATATGAGATAAGTTGATTCTGCCTTGTCACGTGAATTTATACTTCTGTGTTAGACATATCTGGATTGCCAATTGAAGACCATTCTTTATTCTTAGTTCATTAGCTCAAGCTCTGGATCTCTGACAAGACTTAAGTCAACTGTTTTATTATTTAGAAAAATAATGAAAGAACAGAATGACAAATTGTGAAAATAAGATGGAGTAATACCTAATTAATTTTCTAGCAGATGGGGCTGTTTGGCACACAGAGGTTGTTCAAATAGCTGACAGGGAAGGGCGATGGTCCCAGAAAACTCAAAACATACTATATTTCCATACACAATGGGAAAATAATTTTATAAAAAATGTCTGCCAGTAAATTAGCTATTACGATGGTCTGTCAAAATGCTAATCATTAGGAGATATATGTAGGAATACATATATTCTCTGCGAGTGAAAAGAAAATTATAAAATACTATGTGTACACTAGTAAGAAGAGAGGAAAGCAAGATGTGAAAACTGGCACTCTTGTCTAAAGTCGGTGCCATGATGTGTGTGCTTTATCTTCAGAAATAAATAAATAAATATTGCCACAATATGTTCTTTTTCATTCTGCTAAAAATAATAGAGAATAAAATTGACCACTTAAACCACTTTTAAAATATAGATTTATTTTTTATGCATGCTTTTGTGCAAATGTGTGTGGGTACTTGCAGAGGACAGAAGAGAATGTCAGATCTCTTGGAATTGGAGCTATAGGCATGTATGAGCTGCCAGATAACATGCTGGGAACCGTACCTGGGTGTTCTGAAAGAGCAGCAAGTGCTCTTAACCAAGGAGTCATCTCTCTAGAGTCTTAAACCATTCTTGAATATACAATTCAATGATGTTACATCCAATCACAGTTAGTCACCTCCAGAACATTTTCATGACCTCAAAGTGGAAACTCTCTGTACTCATTCAACAGTTAACTCCCGTTTCCCCTCTTCCCTAAGAATTTGCCCATTCTAGGTATGTCTTATTAATGGAGGTATGTAGTATTTGCCAGTTGTTTTGGAATTTAGTGTTTTCAAAAACAAACTGGAAAATTGTTCCAGTGGTGATAATATGAATAAAAATGACATTCACATAAAGGTGGGAAAATGATTTTTCTATGGACATAACAGTAGATATTTAGTCACATTCAGATGAGTCAGATTGACAAAAGACAATTCATTTTAAAGAGTTTTGCAATCCAACCAATCAATGTCAGTCCTCACTCCTAAAAATCAAGCAACTCTGGGTATACTCTGAAAACAGACCTCAGAGCGTGCACCACCAAAGACAACACCACTGAGCCCTCACAACTCCACAGAAGACTCCAGAGCAACCCCAGTATTCTACATTTTCTCACATCCTCTACAAGGTCACTAGCCCTGCTTCTCAGAGAGAAAATAAGTACAGCTGGCCTTTACTTTTAACCAATGAATTCACTTGTGACTTTTAATTCCAGATATAGACATAGTTAAGTGATACAAGGCACTACTATAGAAATAAAAACGGATAATTATTTTATGCCGTATTGCAAAACACTGTTTTTAAAACTTAAATAATTGTTTTTAAAAATATTTTATTATTTTTATTTTATGCTTATGAATGTTATGCCTGCATGTATGTAAGTGCACCCATGTTATGCAATGCCTGTAGAGGTGAGAAAAGGGCGTCGGATACCTTGGAACTGGAATTATGGATAGTGGTTAGCCATCATGTGAGTGTTGGGAACTGAACCTGGGTCCTCTACAAGAACAGCAAGTATTCTTAACTGCTGA